GACTGGTGCCGCTCTGGGTTTAGGTTTCCGAATGATTACTTTGTCACCTTCTAGCTGCCAACCCAAGCCCTCTTTCTCTACCAATTTCTTCCAAGTCCACTGTCTCCCATCTCCTGTACAGCCTTCGACAATCCAACTCACGTTGACGTTGAGATAAGCACTGCCGACGGCTTTCAGCGCATGTCTCCGGACACGGTCCTCAGCCCAATTGATCACAGCCCGCGTAGGTGAATCCACCTCGTTTCGGACCTGCCAAAAGGCAATCCAATTGTCATGCATCAGCGCCGCCAAAACACGGTCAATTATGTCCGATTTAAAGGCATATTGAGTACGCGCGCGTGCACGCAGCTCGAAGGCAGAAACCATATCCCCTTGCCGGCAAGCATAGTCGAGGATCAAATATGATATGATATCCTTCAGCTCCGAGTCGGGTAATGGGTGAGAAGGTGAATGTAATGTCTCAAGCAGATAACGGAGAGAAGGGAAATATGAAGGTGGATGCTGAGCGCGGATGGAAACTGTGACCGAGAATACATGGACCTGCTGCTGGAACGACACGGGAACTGAGGACGCGGTGGCTAGCACGGCTTCTCGGAGCTTGCGGAGGGACAACAGAAGAGTAGATAATTCTGTAGCCGGCGAAGGACCAGTCTGTCCGGTCTTCCTGCCAGGCAACTGGAGGCGGGATGCCGGTGGGTTTTTTGTCGCGTCTGCAGAAGCACTGGTAGGAAGGGATGCGAGAGCCTCAATCAGATTTCCGGCATGCCGAGCACAAAATTCCATCCATCGATTCGTGATGCACTCAAAATATTTCTTTTGTTCCTTGTGATCTAGGAGCCTGCGAGGGATTAGCTCAATGAACAACCTCAACCCCCACTTGTCGTTCCGATCTCCTCATTGAACTCAATGCGCACATACAGCCGATCACCTTTGGACACAAAACCAACCGCCTCAAGAGGATCCCTGTCCCTCAGGGGCTTCAAGCGGCTTTCGGAAAATCGAGCTGAACGTGTTGCGGGACCCGCCATGGCTGGCAATGTGCCGTGGTGAAGAGCGTCATGAGGAGAGATAACAGCTTTATCGCTGTCGTCTGGTGTGATCATGGATCGTCAACTCGTGGAAGGAATTACTCCGCTGGGCTTACCGCCTGTTTGTTTTGTTTGCTTGGTTTTGCCTGTTTGCTGAGAGTGGGACGCCGAGGTTCCTTTTTTTCCCCCAACAGGACAATTCTGAGTGTTTCCCAACGGTCTATCTACATTTCAACAGTTGCTTCTGTCTTGAAATTTGATGCTCATCCGTCCTTGTTATCCTCTCAACTGATTTGCGGTCATTTATCTCGTAGTTAGAGAGGTATGGTGACAATTTTGTGTTGACCTGCTCAAGTTTCTTCTACTACCCGCTACCGCTCCTTATACTTGCTTGCGTACTTCTACTGCATGTGAAGAAACATGTCTGCTCGCCAACGTCGTCCCGCTGAGAGCTATCAAAATGAATCGAATTCGACTCAGCCTGCTGCTATCGCAGCTGCAATTCTCGAGAAGCCGCCCGAGGTCGTGAAGAGACTTCTTCATTGGGACGATCTTCCGCATTGGCAACGTGATAATCACCACATCCACACAGGATACCGACCAGCCTCGTTCTCGTTTCTCGTGTCCTTTCAATCTCTCACGTACCTCCACAACGAAACGGTCAACATCTATACTCATCTTCTGCCGTCACTGCTGTCTATTCCCGCTGCGTTCTTACTGTACCAGGAGCTTGCCCCTCGCTATGAGACTGCCACAAGGGACGATATTATTGCCTTTGGTTGCTTCTTTGCAGGAGCTGCCTTTTGCTTGGGGATGTCGGCGACATATCATACCATTTCCAATCACTCCCCGATAGTCGCTCGCATAGGAAATACCTTTGACTATGTCGGTATCGTAGGCCTTATTGTGGGAAGTTTCGTGCCAAGCGTGTACTATGGTTTCTACTGCGTTCCAGGCCTCCAACGGCTGTACTGGACGATGATCTGCGCTATTGGTCTTGGCTGCGTTATTGTCTCGGTTCTCCCCCGGTTTCGGACGCCTCAGTGGCGGCCTTTCCGCGCAGCCATGTTTGTTGGGATGGGTCTGTCAGCTGTGTTTCCTGTGATCCACGGGTTGCAAAAGTACGGGGCCGACCAGATGACGCGCCAGATTGGGCTCGGATGGCTTCTCCTTCAGGGTTTCCTTTATATCTTGGGGGCTACAATCTATGCGGCTCGAGTTCCTGAACGTCTGCGGCCGGGCAAGTTCGATATATTGGGAAGCTCTCACCAGATCTTCCACGTACTAGTGGTTTGCGCTGCCGTGGCTCATTTGACTGGCTTGCTCAAAGCATTCGACTACCGACATAGTGGGATTGCAGGAAGCTGTCCGTCAGACTCCAACTGACCTTCTGATTCGCCACCGAAACCTGATAGGAATCACACGAGCAATGCATCACTCTTGAACAACATGTTTCGGTCGACATATGTAGCCATTAACCGTATCAGTAGAGGAGATAGGTGACGTGTGCTGATGCTGACTTCTGGCGGAGGACACGAGATGTGTCCAACCAACTTTCCCCCCTTGCTGACAGTCCAGACATGCGGGAGGTTTTCCACGATGTGTATTGGCAAACTCAAAATGCACTGCGAGCATACACAATGTTTCTGGAAGCATCAGCTGGCTTCCATCAAGAATTGGTTTGACATGCTCACCGCTTGCTTTCCCGGCCACTCGATCCGGACAGACGAATAGAGAGTCGTATACAGAAATCTCCAGCTCACATGGTATGCTGTCATGCATCACGGTGATCATCTCCCTCTTAGAGATAGCTCAGTCATTGGACACTGTGACAGACGCCAATGGCTGAGCCCAGCAGATGGCTGTTTCACTGGTTAGAGTTCATTACCGTCATCTCATCATCACGCCACTGTGTCTATCGACAATGTTGCATCAAGGCTTCCTCCTTCAGGCCGCCATTGCCAGGTGAGAATGGTTGCCGCTTAGAATCTCCCGGCCTTAGCAAATCAGGTGGTAGCCAAGTCATCCGGCAACTGCCCCTTTTGGATCAGCTAAGTCTGGGCTCGTGGGACTACAATAAGGACTGGTGACGATTGTTGGTCGCTCTTATGCGTGGGGGATCAGATGGAGCATTTGGGTTTCACAGCGGCTGACTTCGTATGCGGTTGCCGTCGGTTAGGGAATCCTGATACGGGCAATGACTCCAGGTTCTGCTTTCCAGTTATATAATGGGGGGGGTTGGTTGGTTGGTTGAAGTCACCGTCTAAGGGTATTCTGCCTTCCTATCATATCGGCGAGGTTGCTTTAGATGCTTGTGAGGGTTGGCCAGCACTGGATCGCTTCTTCCGGCGTGGGTCTCCCTCCACGAGATATCCGTTTCATAAGCCGGCGGACATAGATCAAATCAGTATCCCCCAAAGGACATGAAGGCTTGTCTTTGGGTCCAATCCGCACAGATGTATGCAGGATCCGATCAACCTTCCGGCAACGGCGGAGACACACCCAGACTCCGGGCCGCTTGCGAGAACTGCAGACAATCAAAGGTGAAATGTAATCTCTCTGGAAAGAGTACCTGCATCCGGTGTCTTCGTCACGGGCTGCCTTGTCGATATCGACTCGCCAATCGGTCAGGAAAACCCAAGGGCAGCAAGAACCGAGCCACGTTGAAGAAGCTGGGACAACTGCAGGACGAGAAGCCTGTATTACGTGCTTTGAAGGGAAAGCACAGCGCGGAAACCGTCATGGACAACCATTCTCACTCGATCAGTGAAAAATCTCGAGTGCTTCAGAGCAGTGAGGAAAACGTGTGTTGCGATCCGGTGGATCGGTCGGATAGAAATGCTAACATGGCACAGTTACACGAGAGCCCTACCAGCCAGGACACCGACTTCACGGCGGACGCCTCCATATCCGTGTTCGCATATCCTTCCTTCCAAGAACCGTTGCCATCTGCCGATCCGGTATATATGCAAGCCTCCATGTCACCCACCTTTCTTCAAAAGGAGTTCATCACCAAAGGCCTCACGAGCTGTCCCCTCGCAGTCCACATCCCCGATGCGCTGCAACCGTCGTGTGAATGTGGAGGAACAGTGGTGTTTCACATGGACCAGCTGAGGGATATGATGGTCAACGCCGGCCACCTGCGACTCGACCAGAGTCTGCAGGGTATCAAGGTGGCTCTGTCAGTCTGCCAAGGATTTCTGCAATGCAGAAATTGCCCAAAGGACAGCACTAGTCTGCTGTTGCCTATCTCTACACTAGACTTCACACTGCAGATATTCGAATACTGGGTATCGTACGGGCTGGCGGCGCAGCATTCGGTGGGAGTCGACAGTGCAAAGATGAGATATGGCGATTATGAAATGTGCTCCGAGGAAAGTTGGTGGATCAGTCGCTTCCTGCTCCGTGCGCGACTCGTCCAGTGCAAGGAGGTGTTTTCCGTACTGCAGAAAGCGATCGATGTCTGCCTCGGGTCGCCATCCGGTCATCTCGGGCAAGGGCTGTACGACGAGAACCGCGGAGGCAGCTGTCTCGATCAAATCCTTCGAGGGTACGAAGCAACGGTGGAAGCTTTTATGCGTTGTTTATCGGGGAATGATGTATGTTCTAGTTCTAGTTAGTATACGGAGTAGGCGTCTGTACACCAATTGACTTTTAAAACATGTGCACACATATGTTTCTATCTACTCGTGGTTTAACTGTAGTTTAACTTAGCAGAAGGCCGTGTTGCCGTCAGCAGTGACGGATAGATATAGTAGTGACGGCTCTCGGCTTTGACAAGCCTCGGCAATCCAGCCGTTATACTCGTAGAGAAGCCACCCCTCACGCGTCAATATAAGTCTACCAGCATTTCAATTGTACTTCAAAAACAACATTTTCTTGACAAGTCCAACACCTGCCTTGAAACGATTCAAATATACCAGTCATACACGAAATCTAATTTGCTTCATTGCGCCCCGCAAATCAATCAACATGGCCGCCCGCCTCGCCCAGGTCAACGCCCACCTCAACTACCCAGCCGGCCTCCTCGCAGGCAAAGTCGCCATCATCACCGGCTCAGGCCAGGGCATCGGCGCCGAAGCAGCCCGGCTGTTCGCCAACGAAGGCGCAAAGGTCATCGTCGCTGACATCGACGCTCGTGTGTAACCATCCACCGCAACAGCAACAGCAACAGCAAGTCTCCCACCAACTAACACCTCCACAGAAAAAGCCACCGCCGTCGCCCAATCCATCAACGATGCGGGCGCCGGGCGCGCGCTCGCCGTCGTCGGCGATATCCTGGACGACGCCTATATCACGGACCTCGTCTCCAAGGCGGCCGGGTTCGGGAACGGGAAGATCCATATCATCGTGAACAATGCGGGGTTTACCTGGGACGGGGTGATCCACAAGGTAGGTATTGCATTTTTTTCTTTCCTTTGGTTTAGAAGACGATGACGATTGTCCTGACGGAGTTAGATCACCGATAAACAATGGGACACGATGCTAGCGGTGCACAACACCGCGCCGTTCAAGCTGATTCGGGCCGCGGCGCCGTATTTCCGGGTTAGGGATGGGGAGGACCGTGTGATTATCAATATTAGCTCTACGAGTGGGATCCATGGGAATGCGTACGTCACGTCTTCAGACTCTCCTTGGTCAAGTCAGAGTCACTGCTAGTCTCTAGATATGGGTTGTGCTGATCGTTGCTCAGGGGGCAAGCAAACTACGCGCTCGCCAAAGCCGGGCTGGTCGGGCTGACCAAGACCATTGCTAAGGAATGGGGCCCGGCGTATGGGGTGCGCGCCAACACGATCGCGTTTGGCTTTGTGACGACCCGGTTGACGGCTGCGAAGGAGGACGGCGCGTTCATCACCACCCCGGACGGGACCAAGGTTGCGCTGGGGATCCCCGGGAAGCAGCTGGCTGGTCGTAAGGGGGGCGAGAAGCAGGCGTATCCGGATATTCCTCTGGGACGGCCGGCGAGTCCCGAGGAGGCGGCGAGGTCGATTCTGGGGGTGTGCAGTCCTTACTTTTCGTATGTGAGTGGGGAGACCATTCGGGTGACTGGAGGTCGCAATACGTAAATACATTGTTGCGTGATGCTTGATTGCTTTGTGATGGTACAATTATATATACAGGGGGACATCACGTCATGTACAGAAAAGGTTCCCTCCACTGTGTCTGCTAGCGAGTGTCCAGGCAGCGCTTAGTGACTAGCTATACTGCAGTTCATGAAATCTTGACGTGGCAGACGCAGGAAATAGAAAACGAGTGAGTCTAGACCGGACACGGGCACCTTTATCGTGCTCAGTCTAGTCCCACGTCAGCCTCTTATCACCTTGTCGGTCTTACTGTGCAGTGTGCACACCCGTCACTTGATTGGCAGAACTCGAAAGCATGGTGTGCTGACAGTGCTGACAAGGCACACAGGCAGACACAGCCTAGTGCTAGACCATGAGCACAGAGCGTAGGACAGGAAGCCTCAAGCAGGACGAATACAGCAAGTGAGAAGTGGAGGGGAAATAGTTGTCGTCAAAGTCTATTGTATAGGTGTAATGATTCCAAAATGAACGAGCCTGATCGGCTAATCTTACACCACACGTAAGAATCAGGCCCTTATCCTCCAGTCCAGCACCAGAGCGGTGTCTTGAAACCTCGAAGAGTCGCGATAACCAAGCGAAATCAAACAAACAAATCACGGTTTTCCTCCCAGTGCTTCCGTGGTATCGATTCTGCTGCCGTCTCCCATATTCGACTCCATGAAACAAAGAACAAGGTATAAAAACAGTACATGCAATGCTTCTCTGATCCGGGGTATTTCTTTTCTTTCAAAAAAAGCTGTTCAACTCCAACACCACAACACCAAACCAGGCACATAATCAAACAGATGATCCGACAAAATATGAATCAAATAACCATCAAGGATCCACCCGTAAATAGTAACATATTAATAAAACATAGCGAAGTGTGCAGTGAAGGGGTCCCGGAACTCTCATGAATGGCGGATCCTATGCTGACTGGCGGTTGACCAGACAATCCAGGCGGATGTTACCAGGAGTCCAGGGAAAATGATCAAGATTAAGGCGTATGTCCAGAGAAAGCGGGAAAGGCGAAGGGACCTCATCTTTCGGAAAGGACGATGGGTCGCTCCGAATGATGCAAAAAGAAACTGAATGAAAATGGGGCCGTATAAATGTAGTGGAAATCCAGTTCCTGATGTTGAATAGTTGGCATAAATCGTAAGTCTGCATTAATATGGGTCTTGGCCGCTCTTGTTTTGCCGTTAAACCTTAGCAGACGGAGAGTGGCTGAGAGCCCGGCTGGTGGACAACAATGGCCTCCGAGATGTCCTTGCATGTCAGGGGGTCCATAGAGAGATCGCCTTGACATTCCGTTTCGGGCTCATATTCCACAGAGGACATCGATGCAACACTGTCCATATCGGTAAATACTTCAGTGTAACAAGAGCTATCGGATGCGGCAGAGTCGGAGAAGTCTGAGTAGTGAGACGAGTCTGAAGAGGATGTCGATGGCTGCGTGTTGAAAGCATGCACAGGGACAGAGACAGGGACCTGTGGCCCACTGATGACGTCGTAAGGCAAGGGTCCATTGGGAGCAACCCAGGGGGTCACTGGGTTGAGGGTGAATTGAGGGCAATCCAGGATCAACTGGCGAAGCTCCGGGATGGTAATTCTCTTGGAGGGGTCACACTCGAAGATGCGGCTCAAGATGCAAACCAGATCATCTGACAAGGGCAGAATGGACTTGAGGAAGAAAGGATCCTTGAGATAGGCCCGGAATGTGGAGTCCTCAATCGAGGCACGTTTCCATGGGTTGCGCCCGCAAGTGAGGTTGACCAGAATCACACCCAGGCTCCACACATCATTGGGGGCCGATGCATAGCAAGACAAGGGACGGGGATTCGGTTGTTGGCATTCTTCAATTGGTAATATATTCAAGTCAGCCGACTGCACGCAATAAAGAGACAAAAAAAAAAATGGGTGAATTACCTGGAGACATATAGAATGTGGATCCGCAACCAAAGTCCGAAGTGAAATAATCCGTGGTAGCAAGGCCAAAGTCGGCCAGTTTGACCGTCAGGCCCTGATCGGTCACCAAGATGTTCTCCGGCTTGAGGTCCCGGTGATAGATTCCTAATGAGTGGCAATACTGGACGGCATCCAGGATCTGGAGAAAGACACGTTTAACCAAGGGATCGTTGCCCACGAAGTTGCCCTTTTCGGTGATGCTGGAGAACAGATCACCCTCGGGGCAGAATTCAATGACCACATAGGTACAGTCGACGGAATCCATTATGCGAACCAGGGAAACCACATTGGGATGTTGGCTGGCCAGATGGTGGAGCTTGATCTCTCGCTGCTGGAACTTGAGCTGCCGGGCATCAAGTCCGACCTTGTTCAGTGCTTTGACAGCATACACCACATTGGTGTGGATGTCGACGGCCGTGTAGACCACGCCGTACGCACCAACTCCAAGAATGCTCGTCAGTTCTAGCCGGTTGGCTAGAAGATATCCCAGGCGGTGTTCCGGAGCATAAGGACGGGTAATGGGAGGAGAAGGCGGAGGAGTTGGAAGCATGGGGGGATACATGCTGAAGGGATTTGGGGAGAGCATTAAGGGTAGATGTGATATAGAGGGCAGAGACTGGAAAGGATGCACAGGAATATGCAGCCTTCCAGCCAGGAAACAAAAACAGGTGTTGTAGTGACTAGGGCTGACAATGGAGTATTCCGTCTGATGAGAGAGTCCTTAAATGGCAAGATCCAAATCTAAACGGCCTGGTGGTAGCGGTGATATCCAAAAGGGAGAGTCGTTCAAGATATTAGGGATATTTATTTCTTGACTCAGGAATCCATTGGAAGAAGCAGAGGATGGTTCCAAATTAATCCAAAATCCTAGGAAATGGTCCGTGGAAGAAGAAGTAGACCTTGTTGGTGGTTTGTTGTAGTGGTAGTAGTAGTAGTAGTAGATGTTGTTGTTGTTGTTGTTGTTGTTGGTGTTGCACTGCCTGATGGAGAAGCGCGTCCAGAACCCACAGGGAGATTGGTCCGATGATGTTTGGGATGAGGAAGAGATGTTGGATAATTATAGGAAGGGTTGACTGTTAAGGAGAGAGCCGATTGAAGAAGAGAAGATATATCCAAAATAATATGACAAAAACACAGAAGGAAAAAAAGAATAATACTAGCAGAAGGCCACGCAAACCAGAGAGAGAAGAAACAGAGATGATGAAGGGAAGTATAAGGGGAAGAGGGGATACGATTTATGATGATCAGGACGGCGGAGAGGCGAGAAGAAGAATAATAATAATAAAAAGAATAATGATCAATAATAATGCACTAGCATAGTAGCGCTAAATGTGTGGAAATAACACTTGTTGATTTACAGAGTAGAGTACCTTAGCCTTAGGGAGTACAGGCTCCAGGCCTCGTGGTCTAAACGATGCGTTTAATACCTAGTCAGTTAGTCACAGGTTAATAGTGGCCACATCCTTTCCCCCCCTAAAGAATCTTCGAATCAACAACCAACAACCAACAACCCACCCCATAACCACCGCCGCTAAGTCTAGATAACTACTAATAATAATCCCAGATAATCGCAGGCGTTGGGTTAGCTCGAATAATACGACAAGAGAAAGGCAAAATTGATCAACCAAACATTAATCCCAGACTTCCCCCATGTAAGAGGGCAGTTACATTAAGCGCAGGGCACAGGGCGAACGCTGATTGGAGAAAGTGAGTTGAGATGTGGGGATTTGTCCCCACCAGACTAAACATGTATGATGCTTAGACTAGGTAGTAGTTTAGGGTCCAGCTACAAATAGGAGACTAAGGAGAGGAAGGGGTGGGAGCAATCACTGTCTCCAGCCTTGATAACTAAGGTAGGTAGCTAGTCTAAATAGGTAGGTAACTATCTGGGAGCGGGCCAACTGGAACCGACCAGTCCGGGTCCCTCCTTCAGCACCAACAGAACTCAGAAGGCAAATCTGGTTCATGGAATCATCCAGCCGGGAAGGAAGGCGCTACTTATCCAAGTTCAACACTAGTAATGCTTCCAAGTTCCAAGATCTGAGTCTACGAACGATTGCTAGGGAGAAATCAATCAGGAGAGGGAGGGACAAAGGTGCACAAGTGCGTGGCTCAATGATGATGTCCTGAGGCGTCACAAGGTCTTACTGATTCTCTCTGCCATTCAAGTGCCATCGCTTCGTTTAATCTAGTAGGTAGATACTACTACTAAGGACGATATGTTGGGATATGCCTGCACCTATCGAGTCTGAATGTCTCTCATAGGTTGGGACGACCAGAGATGGCCAGCCTCCGTCTGGATCCGAATGATGGCAACAACACCGGTTGCCGTGGCTGTACAGACTCCAGAACCACAGGAAGACTCGATCCGCAGATCCTCTGATTTGCTGTTTGGGCTGATAATAGCCCGGGATGGTCATGATGGAGGCGGTGAAGGGTGTGACAGGTACACCTAAGCTATGCAGAAAGCCCCACCCATACCTGCGGTGGCGCAGCTCATCATTGGCTGAATGCGGAACCCCATGGATGAATACATCCGCGCTGTGTGTTGTGATTGGAGCGTCATCCAGCAGGATGCAGTGGCGATGGTAATGGACGGAACGCCCTGTTGCCTTTTCTTTTGCAGGTCATACGCAGGAGTCTCCTACTAGTACACTGCGTTCTTTGGCAGTTGTCTCAAGGCTTCAGCCTTCAGCCTCACAGATCACCATAGTGATCTCATTGCTCTGGATTTCTGATTAGGAGATATGTACTCCGTACTCCTTCAATAGGCGCTCCTTTAGTGAGACTGAGATTGGGGTTGACCCACTCTTTAATCTATGATGATGAAGACCATGCTCATAGCCTTATTTGATGATCATGCTGCAGCCTCGTTGGGTGTGAGATACTCTTTTTGTATCTGTACATCAACTTGGACGTACCACTCGAGTACTACAGTGTACGAACTTGCGGTCGTTGCCAGCTCAATTCCCCACAGTCACGGTCGAGATTGAAGACTGGACTCCGTTAGCAGGTCTAGAGTCACTTATCGACTCGCGTGTCAATCGGGATGAATGGAGACTAGCAGAGTTGAGATAGAGGAGATACAGAGTCAATCCTGTCAAACACAAATCAGGTCTGCTCCGCTGGGGCTACTGTTATCCACCGTCCATGACAACATATCCGTATCCAAGCCAAGCAGGCATGTCCTCCTCCGTACTTGGATATGATATGCTCTCATAATAGCATAATTACACAATTAGCTGTTGTATTTTGCGGTGGCCAATTCTGAAGTCATAAAGGACAGACAGTGGAATGATGATGAACGAGAACGAGACTACGGAGTATCAACCTTCCACACACCGTCTTTTCCGTTCCGATCAACGACAAAGAAAGACTAAAACCCCAGCATTATGAAACCTTGTTCCTCCTGGTTGAGATGGACTTGGACTTGGAAGTCGGTGGAAGTAAAGTGAGGCAATCATGGAGGGCCGCCTTGACCAATGATTAGCCCAGTTCGTCCGCTTCGAGAACGCCTAACCCCAGCGAATGACAGCCAGCAGAGGCGATGATTGGTTCTTTTGTTGCCACGTTTGCTGTTTGAGAGTTGCTGGTGGAGACGCCCAGATCCGAGGAGTGGATCACATTGGCCCTAGAGCCCACCTGAGTCTGGGTCCACCTCGATGCGGAAGTTGTCAAAGCAAGGCGTCCATTCCGTGTCTGAGTCTCTGCACGGGCCAAATGACACACTGGAAGTTTGAATGAGTTTGAGTCAATATGGAGTATGGAGTACGGATAATAGGATGGATCTTGAGATCAATTGATGGCAGGCACTGGCAGTAACCTTACCTACTACTACTACTACCTTACTGTATGCACCACCCAGTATCCAAGGTACTCCGTTGTCTAGGTACTCCTGTATGATATGATTCTGTCCTACCACCGGACATTTTCTCATTGGCCAAACAACCGATCTATCTGCTGCAGTGCTGCTAATCCCATTCTGCTTGTCGCTGTCGATCCTGATACAACTCCAGTCTCAAATCAAGTTTATGTTACTATCTTTATGACCGGTATCACTAAATCCCCCATAGATTGGCGCTGGATTATCTACCCCTTAGTATCAGCTTTAACGCCAGGGCCAGACAATCTGATACACCAAGTATGTCCTCATCAAGATCAGCTAATTTCCAGCCACCATCCATGAAATACCTATTCTATCTATGGAGCCCAGAGCAATAACGTACCCCAGACGCTCATGCATCACCTCCGTACATGCATACATATCTCATACTCCGTAGTCCGTACAGTGTCTGGCCTCATGCAGGCCTACCTAGGTACATAGCCTAAGTACATACGTATGGTACTGCTTGGTAGATTCTCTCAAGACAACACAGCAAGGGCAACATACCAAACGCCACAGAATATCTCCAGCTTGATTCAAACAACTATCTAGGTAGTCGTCTTCACTCTACGAAATCATCATCCAGAACTACAGCGTCATCATCCCCGTAAAACGCATAGCATCTATCTGGCTATGTATGTGCTCTGAGTATATTATATGTAGTCTCATAAGTACATATGTCTACTCCTTTGCCTCCACATACCACAACTCATACTGAAAACGGCCACTGGACGCAATTGCCTTTTGCTTTTTGTCTTTTGCCTTCTGCCTTTCTGCAATTTGACCCCCTTGATCAACTACTAACTAGTACATTAGGTATGAAGAGGCAATGTGCTTCGATCGTCTGCTCTGCTCTGCTCTCGAATGTCCATGACATGCCTGCCCATGGTTTGCCACCGCCCCCGATATCAGAGTCATCATCATTCCTCCGCTGCCTCACCAAATCAGATGGAGTTTCAATTCTTATCCCGTCTATCCGGGGGGCAGGGACAGCTAGGTTTCCCAATCTATAGCATCTCATGATCTACATGTTTTCCTCGAATTGGTGACCCACGGTAAAGCATTGCAGTGGCAATGGGCGAAGACCATAGTGCTGCCTGATCGGCCATGGCTTCCCGGTCCTCAAATTCCCACGTTGTAACGGCTATCGAACCTAGATTTATCGTCCGATCATACTACTCTGATTCGATGATCGGGATGCTCGATTGAATGTGGATGCCTACTTATGCCAAATTCATGCCAGAAATACCAGGTATATACAATCACGTAATAGTATGTTGCAGTTGTGACTCCCCTCCCCAATAAGCAGCTGCCTATGCCTTGGGCCGCGCAATAAACGGATGCTTTAACGCCTCAGCCGGCGTGCACCGCTTCTCCGGGTTGAGACTCAGACAGCGGTCCAATAGATCCACAAACAGCGCCAGTTCCTTTGCCTCACCATCCGTCATTCCTTTGGCGTTCTTGCCCATCAGTCTGGTTCTGAGGTCGCGCGTGGGTTTCTTGAAATCAAGGACTTTCGTAACCAGACGACCCGTAATCTTATCCTCTTCCGTGCTATGGAAATTGAGCATATCATCAAAGTGCTGGTGCGTCAGCGATCCTTTCCGGAGAAGCTTGGGAGGGTATTTGCCACGACATTCCATGATCGAGCGTAGCATCTGGTTGTTATTTCGACCGGTGAACAAGATCTTGCCTGTGTACAGTTCAAATAGCGTACACCCTATAGACCAAACATCGATTGCATGGTCGTACGGAATCCCAAGGATGATTTCCGGGGCCCGGTAGAATCGACTGACCAGATACGGCGTGATTTCGTTCTCCGTCGCCGGTGACGCCGATCCCAGGTCACACACTTTGAGTACGCTGCGCTGCTCATTCACGAGCAGGTTGTCCGGCTTCAAGTCAGCGTGAAGGATATTGCACTTTCGGAGCAGACTGAGTCCAAGGAAGATTTGCTGTGCATACGCTCGGATGGCGCGTAGATTCAAGCCCACATCCCGTCCGAATTTCTTCAAGACTTCTCGTAGGTTCATGCTGAGATTCTCAAAAACCATGCACAGATGCCCCTTGTGATCGAAATGTCGTTCGAATCGGATGACATGCTTCTTATCCTCCGGGTCGGCCTCGCGAAGCTGCTCCAAGATGCCAATTTCCTTCAATCCCGCTTTCCTCATGGTGTCGTTCTGGCGGATGATCTTGATCGCTACAAGACCGCCGGTTCTGGCGTCTGTTGCGCGCACCACAGATGAAAACATTCCCTTGCCCAAATTCTGCTGTACATGATATCGTCCATTGATCAACTCACCCAGCCGGACATTATAGTACCCTTCTGGATCGTCCCAGTTATCCATCATACTAATGTCGAGCTCTTGCGGCTGAGGCACCGGCACGGCCGAGGCATGTGTAGGTTGCATAGTTTCCTCCTTATCTTCTGCGAACATGTCATCGATGTCCTCTGCGAACATATCATAAGGATCTTTCGCTTTGACTTCGGGTGGTTGAACTTGGACGGCATCAGGCATCAGAACATCCTGCTTGGCGGTCTGCGTCTCATCGTAGCGAGCCGACGAAACGTCTCCATTCGAGTCTCCTCTGTCATGCCTCTGTCTTTCTGCTTTCATGTCAATGGTCGGATCGTAATCCGCCGCAGACGGCTCATCTTTGTCCGCACCGTCCGTAGGTGCATTGTGATTAGCTATATCAGCATCATTTCCAAACTCTGGGAAAGAATCACCAGCGCTATCGTTGGGTGCTTCGGAAGCCGACCGTTGTGGAGAGACTATTCATACACCAGGATTAGTTCAACAATTCTCCAAACCATCCTATGATTCCATGAGAATACAAGGGAAGGACCCACCTGAAGCAGCTTTGCTAGAGGGCATCGCATCCAAGCTCGGAGTCGGCGTAGACGAATCCGTATCAGCACCAATATGAAGTGCTTGCAGACGCAGAGGCGTCGCTTGACCTCTATACTTTGCCTTGATAGCTTCGCGTCGTTTGCGGCGAGCTTCTAACCGAGCTGCCTCATCGAGCGTTTCAGCAGGTTCTTCTGCAGTGTCTTGACTTTCTTGTACTGCGGGCATAGTCGCACTAGAGTCCGAGTCAGCTATTTATGAATGGCCAAAAAAAGACGTCAAGTAATACCTGTCTTCAATGTGTGAAGGAGCATAAGAAGGAACCTGCTGCACCTGATTCTTTCGAATTTCAGCATCTTGTCTAGAATCTTGAGCGACGACCCGAGGGTTCCCTCGTTCGCTCACTAACTGTTCAGTAGATGACCTTCGTCTTCCAGTATCCCAGGGAGCCACGCTTCCCTCTCTATGAGAATCCCATTCGTCGCCCGAGTACTGTTTGGGTTTTCGTATTTCTCGGTAGGGTGATCGGCTTCGCGTCCGGGGTCGCTTATCCCCACGTCGATCATAGTCGTCCGTGTACCGGAGACCACCACCGTAATAATCGTCTCGGTCATAGTCGTGGTAAGGTCTAGAGCGTATGTGGGAAGCAGGGCCTCGATTATAGTGTCTGTCATCGGTATGCCTGGGACCTCCGCGTCGAGGTGGTTCGTGCCGATAACGCCTCTCGTCATAGTCATCCTCGCGTCGACGTTTCTGCCCTCGGTAGTCTCGATAGGGCGAGCGAGAGCGGGATCGCGAACGCGAACGCGACCAAGTCCTCGTCCTGGACCTCCGTTGGCGTGGCGATCTGCTTACAGATACTGGAGACCTGGGGGCGGACGATGTACTGACTCTGGTTTGACGGTCAACGCTGGTGCCATTAAGAGGAAGTTGCGACGTAGTTGCCTTCGTCTCTGAACCTGATTCGATGATCTCACCCTCAGAAGGGGTCGATGGAGACCTCGACCTACGTGACGCCATTGCCAAAACGGAGCGCTCACGGGATTTGCAAGAAAAAGGGCCTGAGAATTTGATCGTGGCTTTCACGCGCAGCTTCAGAGAGAAGAGAGAAACAGAACTCCGGTTAGCAAGGTTGCTCCAGACAATCAGTTAATGGAGAGAGTGTATTGAGAAAGTCCAACCGGCTAGTGATGCCACGGCCTTTGCCAACTTGACTACCGTTTCGCACGAAGCATGTGCCTTTAAAAAATCTCGCTTCAAAGAGCACTCGGAATTCTAAGATTCAAGCTGAAGAGAATGAGAAGCTTAATAGCCTCTAAGGATGAGAAAAGAACTTTGGAGAGATGAACAAGAGAGAAGAGACAGGACGTGACGGAGAACTGTCAGTTGTTCCCTGACGCCAGGCGGTGACTGACTCTGACTCCGAGAGGTTTTCCCCCTTGGCTTGGCTTGCTCGGGCGCTAGTGCCACCCCGCCTGCCGCTGATAAGCATCTCTCTCTTTTTTTTTTTTTTATCTCTTCACTCCCCCACGTCGCTGCCATCTCTGTCTTTCATCTCGTTCTAGCGAATACTTTCATCTGTTTCTCCCTTAAGACATTCTACACAATGGGTGGTGCAAGCAGAGAAGGTATGCCATCCCCCCTTGTGGATCATGCGATACAGTCAGCTAACTCCTCTGCTTTCCAGGCGGCAAGGCCAAACCCTTGAAGGCTGCGAAGAAGGAGAAGAAGGACCTCGATGAGGATGACTTGGCCTTCAAGGAGCGACAGAGAGCCGGTATGTTGTTCTCTTGTGTTGATTCAAACCGCGCCAGGCGCATTTGCTGACTGTTGATGATGAACAATAGAGGCCAAGGCGAAGAAGGAATTGTTGGAAAAGGCGAAAGGCAAAGGCCCGCTGAACACTGGGCAGCAGGGCATCAAGAAATCGGGAAAGAAATAAATTGTTTCTCAAATGATCTGCGAATCATCGTTATGATATACAACGAGCCATGATGATCTACGACCGCACCAGTGGCGCGCATCCATGTTGGCATTGATTATGCAACTCTTTTTACCCGAGCATATTCGCTTCTTGAAAGATAATTATTTCAAATCAATGCATGTGCATAGCATAATATTGGACGAAGTGCGCATCATTTGCTTTAATCTGCAGAATGTATGCCGAGCCATAGGGCGCAGGCAAAACACAACACCTGATTTTCGAGATCACATATTCTTATCAGCATGGAATGGGTATCACTGGCGCCCTTTTGAATAATTGCAGGATTCAACCTAAATGCTCTGCCAGCAGTGTAACAGTAACGCGAAGAGCGAATCTCCCCCGACTGAGTCGCGCCAATAAAAAGGGTATTCGCAGAACGGAAAGGGGTATGGCTCAACCAACACACGTTCAGAGGCGGTGTACCGGAAATCAAAAGGAACATTAATTAGAAAAGGCGAAACTTGACCAACGCAAGCCGAATCATAGCAGTCGGAAGCAGAAATTCGAAACCGAAATTGATTGAAAAAAGGCTTTCCTTCAGCTGGTCACCCGCTTCACCCATAAACCGGTGTCTCCACCATACAAGTCTTGCTCGTCGCGTTTCTTCCAAGCTCTGAATAGTTTCATGCCGATCTCATGCTCCTCTCTCTTGATATCGGCTAATTCGTTGTTGAGACTGGTGACAGTCTTCTTGACCTCATCCCGGGCAGCCATGTCGTAGGCAATGGAGCTAGGCTGAATGACCTGGGTCAGTTCGTGAATAATTGTGTTAATGTTTGCCCTACGCCGTGCGAGGTTGTCCCTCCTTGCTTCCAGCATCTCAATGCGGTTTTGAGCTTGTTGTTCTGGCGGACATTGGGGAAGGTCCTTGCTATTGTCAGCCTGCGACGGGGTAGGCTTCCTTGTTGGCTTCTTCCCCGGAGCCACGGCACTTGGGATGGGTCTTTTGCGGGACATGATTGAGGGGGCATTCTCTGTAGACTGGGAAGCCGCATCAACGCTCTCGCGACGGCTAGGTGTAGAGCTACCGCTCTCGGTTGTGGCGAAGGTGGTTGCACTGAAGCGACTGACGGGTTCATGAACCTGGTCTCCGGTGGACAGCTTCAACTCAGCGAGGGTGGCTTCCAAAGTAGGCCCTGGGAGTTCGATACGGGGTGGAACATCGCTTGCCGCACTGACGGGTGCAATCGAGTTTTTCGGAATTGACGGTTGCTGACGACTTTTGCTAGGCTGGCGTTTGTCCGGCCCGGGGGTATTATCTGCGCCCCCTGTAATGGTTGTGACCACAGTCGGGACGAAACCGAGGTATGCATGGTCTGGAGATGCACGGTCGCTTTCCTCCGATCGATCGTTGCGATTGTTATTCTTCGATTGATGGACACGTGATGACGATCTCTCCCTTGGCCTCTCCTGGATCGGATTTATCATCGGAGATCGCCCACTTGGACCCTTCCAAGGTTCACGCACTGCTAGCGAAAAGGGATTATCATTTTCTGATGGTGACCGTTGCCGGCTCTCTGTGTACTGTTCTTTTGAATGACCATGGTCCTTGATCCATCTAGAGGCGTTGCGTGATCCTGTGTGTTGTGATTCAGAGGAGACATCTCTGGAAAGGTTCGGTGCGAATTTATCTGAGTGGCTTGTGGTCGGGGCGCCGGAGAAATCATCCCATGGTGTTGTGCGATTCTGACTTGGGAGACCTTGCGTCGACGGTCTGTCGTCTGGTTGCGCAGAGCCCGCCCGCTTACGCGGGACTGGCAAGTGGCTCGTGAACTTCGTGATGATATGTTCTCCGTTGGACGTCTGATTTGACTCAATCTCGAGAGAAGAGACGCGCGAACTGCCTCGACTGTGGTATGCGCGACCAGTAGAGATGGGCGAGTCCGGAGGTGAAATCTCTACACTCAGGTTTTCTGAGGCAGTTTCGGGGCCTCGATAAAACCTGCCTTCGTTTTGATGGTCCCAGGTGACTGAACGCTGGCGACTGTGGTCGAAAGTGTTCCGAGAATAAATGGACGAAGTAACACGATGGCCTGACTCTGGTCGATTTGCAGAAAAAGCCGAGTCTGATGAATACCTGTGATTGTCAGCAGACGATCCACTAACCTGAGAGTCACTTGCACTTTGCACTTACTGTGGTACAAACGGTAGGCCTTTGGGGGGTTTCTCGCCGTGTTGAGCACCGGAACCCGAAGACTGGTACACATTATCAACTGAAGATTTTTTGACCAGCTTGGGGGTCTCAGTTACAGGTTTCCGCGAGCGATGAAATGACACCTTTCCCCACATTTTGACAGAAGTTTGAAGTATTCTGATTGATTGGTCAGTGTTCTCCCCGAAGTAGTTATGATTGTGGTGATCCGCTTAGGTCAATCAGAGAAATATGAGAGAGCAGGGATATTCACTATGACATACCTCTTATCTATAGAGTCCGAGAACAAGGAATGAAGGCAACCAGCTTAGGGAAGGTAATCAGCCTGGTCTGACTGTACGCATGGACATGCCCGCATGTCACCGAATGAAAAAAGAGTCCAATGCAGCGGGAGAAGGCTCGAGCAGCTCCAATCAAGCTGGCTGGAAATGGAGTGAATTCAAGAAAATGCAAAGAAAGAAAGCAAGGAGTGACACAATATGAGAGAGCCTGAAAGAAAGACTGAGGCGTGATCAAGAAAAACCAACGAAAGAAAAGGACAGAAAGAAAGTAAGAAAGACAACGATGTGCTGCTGAGCACAGCCAACAGAACCCCTCCACAGATGATGAAAGCAATAATCAATTAATGAATCAGGAAGATGAAAAGAAGGAGTTGGTGGCAGAGTGAGCATGACAGCACTGAGCACATGCTTCTCTGTCGGCACTAAGTAAGATGAAGGGCCCTGTTTCAGATTTCAATGTAGTTTAGTCTGATCTCTGGCTGTGACAATAGTTAATTTTGAGGTGGTTATTATTAGGATCATCTATGCCCAAGGGAGTAGAGTCCGAGAAGCAAGATAGTTTAGGAGTCACTTGGCTGAACCCCATATCTTGCTTCAAATTTCAGTTCTAGACTTCAAGATAGAAATACATCCGTCTATTGAAGCTAAAAATAAGTGGCTCCTCAATTCAATAATGAATCAAGTCTACAGAAATCAAAGTTAGGAACATTGCTTCCTCAAAAATCAGGCCGCCACAGCCGGTGGTATTATTACGCTTGTAACAGCGGGCCGATACCTTACCTAACTAGGTAATCTCCGCAAATTCCACGGTCGGAACCCGAAGCTGACATCCGTCATGACGGCTTACTCTTAACTTCTGTACTCCGAATCATCATCATCACCATCATCACCATCATCATCCCGTCTCCACGTCGACTACTTGTCCCTGGAGTCATCCCAGAACTCAGATAGTCGCTATCTACACTATATAATGGCCTCAGCAGGTATTACTCTCATCGAAATTTGAATACAACCAAATGCTAACCATTCCCAGGAGACGGTGCGGTTCCCCCGCCCGCGGAAGTGTACGTTCTTCCCTCAGCACCTCTCAAAAAGCCCTGAACATGTCTGACATCTCCATCGGTCAAGAATGTCAATCGCGACCCCCATCAACCTCATCCTCCTGTCTCTCTTCGGAATCCTGGTCTACATGCAACTTCGCCCCAAGGCACCCGTCACCCTCCCGCAAGCCCCCCCACCCGTCGTCTTCCGCACTTTCACGCCAACAACCCTCCTCCCGTTCAATGGCGAAGGCAATAAACCCGTCTACCTGGCCGTCCGTGGGCGGGTCTTCGACGTGACCCCCGGCAAGAACTTCTATGGTCCTGTATGCTTGCGCCTTAGACCTTGATAACTCAAGACCGGTCAACTGACAACCGTTGTCTACTCCAGGGCGGACCATACGAGAATTTTGCCGGCCGCGACGCATCGCGTGGTTTGGCGCACCAGAGCTTCGATGTCGAGATGCTCACTCAGGATCTCAAGGGTCCTCTGGACGACCTCAAAGATCTCAATGAGGAGCAATTGGAGAACCTCCAGTCCTGGGAGGAGCGGTTCCTGGAGA